TTATTATTTGAAGCACAAATTTGGAAATGAACGTTTTTTGCAATTTGCAATGAATTCGACCAATTCCAATCAATTACACATATCTACTAGTGACACCATCACCATCTACAAGTGTACATTATCATCATTTTTTCTATAGGAACATCTACATAGAAGAATAAAAAAAGAAAATAAAAGAACATAAAATAAATCTATGCTTACAAATAAATATCTTAAAGTTTCATATAACCTTTAATCTATTCATCTTTTTTTCTATTGTCTGTTGTTCCTGATGATCATAAATGTCTCTTATTAAAAGTTCGAATAAACTAATGTAGTAAATGATTTTTCCTTAAAATCTACAGGGTACGGCAATATTATAGATTCCATTGTACTAAATACAAAAAAATGAACTTTCTATTTCGGAAAGAGGTCTATTTGGTTAATTCACATGTTCGTTTGAAGGATGGATATATGCAATACACCGATGTGTGATCATTGTTTTTTTTACTTCTCTTACACGCGTACAGAAATGGACACAGAGAGAGAAGTTCTGTGGCATGATTATAGATCCCCTCTCCGTCATTCTTGTTGTTGTCATTTTTCGATTTCGTTCGAAGTCAATCTTTTTATTATTCATTTGCCCTCGATAAACTCTCCTGCATTTCGTAAGAAAATAATGGGAAGAAAAGCTGTTAGTATTGATAAAAAGAGCAGCATTATTCTTTTACGCGATAATGGTATGTCACAACATGAAATTGCTCAAGAATTAAATATCTCTCGACGCTGTGTTCGTTAAACAATTGGTAAATTCAAGCAACTTCATACGGTGGCTACGAAGCCCGGAGCTGGACGTCATCCGAAAGTAACAAACCGTCAAAAACGAGCGATTAAACTGCAATAACTTCGAGATGATACTCTTTCGTTGTCGGATCTCGTTCAATACGTTCACATAAGTTTGAATCTAACTATCAGTCGTCGAACGGTGAGTTGTATCCTTCACGAATTCGGCCTGATTTCTTATATTGCACCGAAAAAACCTCGCATAACTCATAGACAAAGACGTACTCAGGTCTATTGGTGTTATCAATATTTGGCTTCGACTGAAAATAGTTGGCCGAACGTTATATTTTCGAACGAAAGTAGTTTTCAAATAATAAATCGAAAGAACAGAATCTATATATGTCGATTTCGAAATGATCTGAAACGGTTTCAAAGATCTTAACAGCGAGTACAAAGGTGGAGGAGTTGGGATTTGGGCATAACTCACATGTCATGACCTAGATCCTCTGGTTTTCTTCGATGGACAGATAAATTCAGATAAATACATTGATATACTCGAGACGCATTTACCAACAGCATTTGAAAAATTTCCTTCTCAACAATTTCATAAAATTTTATATCAACAAGATAATGCTCGTCTTCACGTTTCAACTAAAAAACGTAAATATCTTAATAAGAAACATCTTAAAACAATCTCATGGCCAGCAAGTAGTCTCGATTTGAACTTAATCGAGAAGATTTGGACTATTCTTGATGATAAACTGCTAAAATTTAATATTAATAATACCGATCAATTAAAAAACGCGTTACAAATGGCATGGACAGAAATCTCAACTGATACGATTGAAAAAAGTTTTGAATCCATGTCAAAAAGACTTCTATAAGTCATCGATGGTAAATGTCTTGTTTGTTGTTACTAGATATTCAGTTTGTTAAAGAAGAACATTTATAAGAAAAAAAGAAAACAAATAAAGAATGAAAGGGGGTCTATCATTATGCCACAGCACTTTTCTCTCTCTGTCGATTTCTGCACTCGTGTAAGAGAAAAAAAAAAATAATGATCACACATCGGTGTAGTGCATATATCCATCATTCTAACGAACATGGGAATTAACCAAATAGACCTCTTTTCGAAATAGAAAGTTCATTTCTTTGTATTTTGTACAGGGGGTCCATAATTTTACCATACCCTGTAATATAATTTTTCAAAGTTATTCAATAATGCTTTACCTTCAAATTACATGTTATATACTCGTTCTAAGTACGACGAGACAAGATTTCTTACAATTAGGAAAATTGAAAGACTCCATTACAAGCCAAAAATGTAAACACGATCTTGAATTCATTCCTCTTCACACCATTTATAACCTAACCCCAACATTAATAAGGATAAATTTATGGAAAAAACGAATAAAGCATACTCTTCAATTATTACACTTTAAACAATTTTGTCTTAAGAAGAAATATCGAAATGGCTACAATGATAACAATAAATAAGAAATCGAAATTGAGAACTTAACTAATAATATAAAAACTAAAATAAAACATACAGATTATCTATTGTTGCAGAAATATTAATATGAAAGATTTAACAACGAACAAGAAAAGTTGCTGCTATACATCATGAAAAGCTAGAAAAATTAAATAAAGGGAAAATAGGTCAAGATCATCATTCACTTCGATCGAATCTGATTCACAATATTTCATCTTATAATCTATCACCAGTAGAAGAACGCCTATTATGTAGAGGATGGAATTTCTGCATTGAAAATAAAATGACTAATTTTATTGAATATAAGACCGATATAGAATTAAATGCATCTAAGCTCCAAACACGTTGCCATCCTAATACATTTTCAACAAACTGTCGTAAGATATATAATTATTCAGAAATATATATGAAATCAACCAAAAAGAAAAAGATAAGAAATATTAGTGAAGATGAATTCAATGCACTTAAATCATTAAGCAATAATCTCAACATCGTTATTTGTTGCGCGGATAAAGGAAACTGTGTAGTTATATTAGATAAAAAAGATTATATTAAAAAGATTAACCAAATTCTCGAACTTAAACAATTTAAGAGCACTAATCATTCAATAATCATTGAGAATGAAAAATCTATGAATAAATATATCTTAAAATTACATAAAGATAAAATTATTGATAAAGAAACATGTTACAAAATCCTGTCTAGTTCTTCCTCTTATACGACTATGTATGGACAACCGAAAATTCATAAACTTGACCATCCACTTAGACCCATAACTTCATCTATTGATTCTTACAATTATAATCTTTTTAAATATTTGTACCAACTTATTAAAAATAACAGGCCAAATCAATCATTTCCTTTCGTTAGAGACTCATTCAAAGTCGTAAAACAGATCATTAAAATTAAAGATAGCACTAACCAAGTAATGATCAGCTTTGATGTTGATAATCAATATACAAATGTACCGGTCTATGAAGCCATTGAAGTCACTCTCGATATGCTTTTTAAAAATTCTGATTCTCCACCGATTCCATTTCATCGATCACAATTAAATAAACTATTAGAGTACGCAGTTTGCAACATACCGTTTCGTTTTCTTGATAAAACATTCGTACAAGTCGATGGCGAAGCAATGGGATCACCCCTAGATCCAATCCTAGCTGATTTATTCATGGCGAATCTCGAACAGAAATTAATTAGATTCTCTACAAACAAGCCTTTAATATGAATTCGATATGTAGGCGATATATTTTGCATCTTTAAAAACCATCAAAATATAAAAGACTTCTTAATGAGAATTAATAAATGGCACCCTAATATCAAATTTCCAAATGAACCCGAAATTAATGAAAAATTATCATTCTTAGATGTATTAATTGAGCAGGATAATATTAATAAAACATATACGACGAGTTTATATAGAAAGCCAACCAACACAAATCGTTATCTATTATATGAAAGTAATCAATGCAGAGAATATAAGCTAAGTTTAATTAGAATATCAGTAATTCGTGTTCACCTTATATGCTCAGCTATTAAATTAAAAAACGGTGAAATTAAATTGATGAAAGAAACCTTAATAACTAATGGTTATCCATATCATCTTATAAGAAGAGGAATATGTGAAGGAGAAGTAATTAGCAATAGAATTTTAAAAGAAAAGTCGAAAGATCAACCCAAATCACCTGATAAGAAAACGCTGTATTTTTAATCCCCTATTATGGTCAAGAATCAACAATATCAGTTAATCGAATAAAACGAACATGTAAAGACTATTATCGCTCATTAAAATTAATATATGCTTTAGAAAAACATTCACAATTAAAAATATATTTCTTTCTCTTCAAAAAGGATTAGACAGCTCTAAGAAGAACAACAAACTTATTTATAAGATCTCTTGTTTAAACTGCAACAAATGCTATATATGTGAAATTGGCAGAGACAAAAGAAACTAGAATGAAAAAGTATGAAGCTGGTATAAGAAAATTCACCGAATCATCTAATGCTGCTAAACATACAAATACACAAAAATACACATTTGATTTGGTACGATCAGAAACTCTACCCCTCGAAACGAATTGGAGAAGAAGAACCATTAGAGAAAGTCTATTCACTCATCAGATGCAAGAAATAGCCTTAAATGGTGTAAACTTTAAATTAAATATCATCGAATGAAACGAACAAAAATGTCTTAGGGCACGTTTTGGGGCCCCGAAAATGTTCTACGGACATAATAATTCGTGAATTAATATTAGTTCATAATTGATCTATCAATCATCTAACAATTAATCTACTTCATGCATATATATATATAGTGTTTCTTTTTCTATTGTCTGTTGTTCCTGATGCTGATAAGTGTATCTTATTGACAACGCGAATAAAATAACAAATGATTTTTACTTAAAATCTAATATAATATTTCTAGCAGTTTTATACTCTTTATTTCCAAAAATATGATAGAGTTGTAGAGTATTTTGTTTTTTCCTCGTTTTGAATATCAATTTGAAGATGAATGATCTCATTAGTAAGAAGATCACGAAGAATTGAATTATCTTTAACATAAATAACAATAGCAATTATTAAATTATGTCAAACAAAGTCATTACTTTCGAACAAAATTCAATACCATACGTGTTACATATTCAAAAAGTAGGCCTTCTGAAAAACCAACAAGTGATAGCAAATAAAGTTGAGGATTACCGGTAGTATGAAAAATATGTTCTGTAGAATGTGATTCAACAGTAGGCTTATTTACTTGACGAGGAATTTATGGTAAGCTTTTTTCACAAATTTTTGAAAGAACTTGATTGTCTTTTGAGAAGACATAAATAAACATTGATTTGGTGGTCACGATAGTCATATCAAGTTGACGAATATGAAAAAGATCAAGTACTAACTGGTAGAAACGTTCACTAAAATCTAATAATCAATAGAGAGCATCAACCATGTTTAAGTTTTTGAAAATGGTGAATAATATTTCACTTGCTAAAATAAATACATTTAGATGATTGTTATTTGAAGTGTCCATAACTAACTCCTAATAATAAGGCTGGCACAATTTCTTTACTTTTAGTTAAGGTAAATATCCCACTCTAGTAAAAAGTAAGTACAATATTTAGATATTTACTTGTAAAGATAAATAATGTACTAGAGCTATTTACTAGTAAAGTAAGTGCAAAGTAGCATGCCTATTCTGAATCAATCAAACTACACAGTAAAGCAAATATTATATTTATCTCAAAGAAAGAGAAACATGGATTATTCAGTGAAAAGCCTTGAATTGATAAGCGGAGCGTATATTTTGGATAGAAAGAATAAATATATGCATCATGTTTTGTAAAAGAAGCAATAGAAGTTAATGAGCGAAGTGAAAATAATTTAGATTATTTTGTCATTAAGTTATTTGTGTATTTGCATTTTGTTTTGTTTTGTTTCATTGTCTAGCTTTCATTTTCGTTTCTACTTCGCTTATGAAAATAATACTATAATTTGCGAAGAATATATAATATCCGAGGCACTGCAAACCGAAATGCTGTCGAAATTCCACCAAACAAACTTAGAGATGTAAGAGTGGCGTAAGTAACATCTAAACGCTGTCCAAACGAGCAATTACATTGCACAGGCTGGCGTACATTATAATATCTATCATAAGAAATTTCACTCGTCCAAGAATCAATAAAAGCCCATGAGTAATAGTTTCGAGGGTATCATTTTCTCGAAAATAAGATTTGTTCGAGAAACGTATTATTAGCCCCAATGAATATATATAACGCCAAAAAACGGACTCATTGTTAAGAGATATTGCCTGAAGAAATGTTGTAAGACACGAATTAGAGAAAAAGCACGTGAGAGAGGATCGCAACATAGTGTCGACAAGCGTACAATCATAAAATATATGGTCCAATGTATAAACTAATTAGTATACGAGAACTCGTGTATAAAGCCATTGGTTTCAAGCATGACCATGAAATGGTACAGGAACAGTTCCCACCGTTGTATTCGACAGGAACAAATATAAAAGGCACATCGTCATCAAAAGATGTTACTCTTGGTGACCAATCTGTTCTTATAACAGTTATAAGCGCATTATCTTGACCAACAACCCGAATAGGCTCTAGAATACCGACAAAAGCAGTCGAAGTCAACGCTTGAAACTGTTGTATTGCATTATCGATCAACACTTGATATAGTTTAGGAGGCAATACTTGAGCAGATATGAATGCAGTTGAGCGGAACTGTTGAATGGCATTTACTATTGTTAATCTAGCGTCAGAACAAAAAGGAGCGATCATCTTGAAAAATAAGGGTCCCAGCTTTCGAAAATCATGTGCGTATAGCTCTGCCCAGCCGACTCTAACAGGCCCAGTTAAATAACTGATCCAACCATCGCTGACTAAGTCACTCAAACACACAGGATGCAAAGCAGCTTCCAGACAAACAATGAATTGTTGTTGACTGATTGAAATTTTCGAGCATGGGCATTCAAAAGAGTCTTGATATTGAAGCTGAAGTTGTTCAAATATTGACTGAGAAGGATTCAAAATCGTTCGACTTTCCAAACCTGTATGTAGTCCCGTGTATAAAAGCAGTATGAACGTGCAAATAATCAAAAGTATGAAATAAATACATGTAACTGAACGCTGGTTACGTTGAGCCTCAATTGTTTGTTCATGATTTTCAAATACATTGAGTCCACTAATGTATTGCTTTATTTGTGCAAATGCTAATAAATTTGGACCTGTAAGAAATTGTTTTAACATCAGTGTTATTTCATCAGAAAGTTAAGCATATGGATCCATGTAAATAGATTGGTGTCACTCAGTGGGACTTGAACTGAAATTGAAAGATCTAGGTGTAGAAACCAGGAGCAAATTATCGACAGATGAAAACAAAAATGTCGATTTCCTAACGAGATACCTATTATTGAGAAAGACCAGTGTAGTTCCTACTGAAAATTTCCTGTCTTACCTTATCTAAATCAAGAACATGTGAGAATTCTGTATACAATAATTAACGCTCGTAGCGACAGAATCGAAAGTTATATTTCAATGTAAGAGAATTATTCTTCTTCGGCGTTCTGATCGGTTATGAAAGCACCTTAATATGATTTGATTCTCGTGCAACATATGCTAATTCTTTCAAAATCTCGATTTGTGCCAGAGATCTTCACTGTCTCATAGAACCATGACTTTCAATAAATATTGCTTAGATGATAATGTAAAATTTTATTGGAACACAGTTTAAGTGAAATAGGGTCTGGGTGTGTGGAGTGTGGGTGGGTGTGGATGCGGTTTCTGTTAAGAATGCGTACATCCACACCCCCACCCCCATCCACACCCACACCCACACACCCACACTCAGAGATACCCTCGTTAGTCACTTATGTTGAAGTATTCTTCGAGCATATTAAATCTATTTTTTGACAATCCATATTCCTTCATCATGACCAAGACAAGAACAAACAACTTGCTGAGTTTTGATGGCAAAGCAAATATATTTGCTGGATTGGATTTTTGAAAAAAATTGTCAAACAAGGCGAACAAAAAATCCTACCAAAGAGTACATTTGTTTTGGTCGACTGTTCGATTGACCTGGTTTACAACTGAATACACGATCAAATTCGATAAAGTTTGATGTTGAACCAATAACTCTAAAACAATCCATCGGTTTTTCTTCTATATTTCAAAGTGCGAATAAAATTAAACAAAAACGAACCTAAATTGAGGCGGAGAATGAACATCTGCCAAAATAAAATTGTTCATAAATGAATCCCGTAGTTTTGCACACCAAATTTGACCATAGTTTATAAAGAAGAGTTGCTCTGTGGAATATTTGCCCAGACCTGGTAGTTTCTTGTCAACGTTTCGATTCGCTTGTGCCCAATTTTTATAAGCCTACAAAACATCATTATTGCATTGTCAATTAAACAATAAAAAAACCGTTACGAAAAAGGCTTCTTTTAGTCCACCATTGTCAGCGAGATTTTCGCTCACTGTTAAAACACCATCGACCTTGATAAAAAAAAGTCAATCACTTGAATAAATTCAAATACAAAGAAAAAGAAAAACCTGGCGATTGACACCGGGCACTGTATAATTACTGTATTGTTGAATAAAACATTCGATCTGTTTATTATAAGCATCGATTTTTTCATTTATCCACCAAGGCACTACATTTCCATTTTCATCATATTGTCGACCGATTATATCGAATCCATGTGTTATTTCATGTCCCATTGTGCTTCCGATAGCTGTATGAGAAATTTGTTGTTTTTTTTCATATCGAAGTAAATCAATGCTCACCGCCATAATTGAGGTATCTTCAATGCAAAACAAACTGATTTATTTATAGAAAAGAAGAAAAATGAGAAACTCACTTAGGTACGTCTTTATCGAAGTTGGGCGCTTGAAGATACGCAGTCGGAAATACTTAATAAAGCCGAAAGAAAAAAATCTATTCGGATCAGAAAAAAGAATCTCACATATGGAATTTAAAGATGGATTATAAGCTGCCTCGATTTTAGTCGGCGGAAAAGTCCATCTCTGACAATCGACAGATTGACGAAGAAGACGATAATTGTCTTTAGCTGCTAATTGAGCGATCGTTAAACCATTTAGAATATAAGATGAATTGAATTTGTACTAGAATTTCGAACAAAAAAAAAACAAATAATGATAAAAATTGTTCTATTACATACATCAGCAGTCTTTTTCGAGTTTGGTAACATTATCACTGGCCACATAGTCCGGATAACCAACATTTTCGACAATTGCTCGAGCCTAAATTTCAAAACTTATCTTCTCAACGATGATAATCAATATTACCTTTGCCATGGCTTTCCTTTTTGAAACTGAATCCATCCAATTCGATTGATTGATCATTTCGATAAATGTATTTCGAATATTTTCAATCATAATTAATGACTGTCATGGTTTATTTCTTTTCAATGCGATAATACAAAACAAACGAGCAAATAGAATACGAAACACATGCCACATTGGTTTCTATTTTTGTCTTCCTATATTATCCATCTTGCTCTTAGATAACTATCGAATATATATTTTTTTAAAGCAAAGACATAAACAGCAATATCCATACTTGGAAAGAAATCTAAACAAGGCAGTGTTACAGTGATGGAAAAGAAAAAGAGGGCACGAGTAACTGTATCACACAGAAATGATTTGATGATCGATACAATGATACTTTTATCTGCCACGTTTTAGAATAGAATTTCACGTAGGATATTCCATGAGACAGGATGAGATGAAGCTTTTTGAAAAAATTCTATAAGACAAGACAGCTTAAAACTTTTTTCGGCGAGATTTTCGCAAAGGAATTGGTTCGCTTTTTCTTTAAAACTATACCTTTTAACGTGCATCACTTATTTTAGCAGTTTATGTTCTTTTTGAAAAGTCCTCTATCGATTAATGTAAGCAAAAGATTAATAAAAATTAATCGAATCTGTTAAAAAGAAATTACCTACATCAAAAATTATAGTTTAACAAAAAGCTGTAGCAACTCACTCAGGATGTGGAAGCATACAAGACTCGCATGCATACACCCACACCCACACCCCACCCTTTTTATCTGAGCTGCATTTATTCGCATTCGACTGTTGCGTTAAAGACGCAAATGAAACATGACTCAGACGCGTCTTAATTCAAAAAAATATTTACATGAGATGGACCGCATTCGTATCTTCCTTTTACTTTTTCATGAAATAACAGAATAAATACATCGTTCTTTATCAATCAATGAATCTGGTTATATTGTTGTTTTTAGAAAAAAAGAGAAACGTGGCATGCAACGATATTTGTGAAACAATTTGGCTCGTGTGGTAGAAACGAAACAACAATGAATCATGAAAAGTGAACAAAATTTAAAGGAACTCAAGATACTCTAGTTGAAAGATAAATACTATATTATTGAATAACAAAATCCTCGATCGCAGCATTTATGAGTGTGAGTGTGAGTGGATGTGGGACTTAAGTATGAGCGTGGCACTTTCTCTACGAACACCCACATTCTCAACCGTGGACGGTATATTGCTAGTTAGTGTCACTCTATCTATTTTAAGAATTCTGGCACCAGCATAGACTGCTACATCACTGTTCTGTAGCTCAGACATGAGTTGCTGTGGTGTCGAAAAACATCAGTCATCTGATGAAAACAATGCTCACAATATTGAATGCGTGAAGAGGTGCATCATCTACTCCCTAGAGAAAACTATTCAGATCATTCAAAATAACGCAAGATTCATCATTAAATCCTCACTGTATTTTTGATTCTATGAAATAAAATGCCATACATATAATCTAAGCTGCTATCTGGTTACAGTCGTCTACAATGCATAATCAAATTAGACCGTTAAAAATTTGAATTCATTCATCTTTTTTTATATCATGGCATACAATTCTTAGAGGTGAAGCAAAACAAAGTCAACGTAGAGTTTAGGATGAAAATGTACCCTAAGCCGTTTTGATAGGATGATCATAATCTGCTACTCCTTCGTTGTGATATCCAATTGCTATATTACAATACATTGTACGCTATCGTATCGACAGAGGAGCCATGCTCAACTTTCCACCGATTTCGTAATGTCCGAATTGAGACACATTGCCCAGCTCTTGCCCAATCCGAATACCAAGTCTGGCAAACTCCATCACGGTCTCTTCATACAAATTCTGCTTTTTCATCCATTCATCCCAGCTTTTCATGTTCTCCCACAATTTTGAGGCATGAAAGGCAGCCTGACTCGTGCTAGCAACAGTATGTGGTCGAAATCCAGCCAATGCATCGCCAAGAAGCACAACTCTACCATCGTAATGAATTGCTCGGTTAGCAAGAACATCGCTGATAGCTTGCACAAAAGGTGACCGCGTTTTGTTGACCAATTCTACAAACTGAGGAGGAAGATTGTCGCTTGCGTATTGTTTTTGATTTTCCCAGATTTTCGCATTGATCTTTCCCGGAGGCGTTGTCCAACGATGGCTTTTTCCGTCGCAATCGATGAGAACCTTTGATAAGTCTTCACAATTGCAATACCACACCCAATTTATCAATCGGTCTCCTCTTTTTAATGTACCATTCTTACCGGGGATAATGTAGGAGAGAATTTGCGTACCAGGTGCGTGAAAGAATGTGAAACGTTCGACGAGAGCTGATGCAACTGGCTCTGATAATTCTGATTCAAGAATTGTTCCACGCCAGGCTATGTAGCCAGCGTACTTTCGTTCTAAATCTGGATACAATAGCGCTCGAATACTGCTTGACGCTCCATCGGCTGCGATCAAGACATCGCCCTTTATTGACTTTTTCCTATTCTCTTGTTCGTAAAACAGAGTTACTTCACCATTCTCGACTTTCATATTGGTCACGTTGGCATCATAATCATAAATGGTCTTACCGCCTGCCTGATCTGGCACCTTACAATATTCATTCTCGATCCCATCAAAATTCGATCGTAGGATGTAATACACTAGATCCCAACTAGTCATGTACTGAGACCAATCTTCTCGATGTATCTCATTACCTTGAATGTCTAGATAGTGGCGAAACACTGACTCTACTACAAAGTCCCGTCTGCATTTGTCAAATGTTCCCATGTAGTCTCGAGTTTCTGTGCCTGCAACGATACCTGCACCTTGATCCTGTAAAAGAGGTTCAGGATTTCGTTCTAGAATATGGACGTTGTGGCCAAGTCGTTTGAGTGCTATTCCTGCAAATAGACCTGCAAGACTTCCGCCTACTACGATAATGTTCATTGTGTCGATTGTAGTAGCTTAGCGTCGTGGTAATGAAACGTCCACACTTGTTTGTATGTATTCTTCTGTAGTTGAAAAATAAAGAACGTAATTGATACTTTCTAGAAACGCAACAAATATATGTGTTTATTCCGTCTTTACGATTTCCAAAAACGGCTCTTTCGAGTCGATCTTTTAACAATAGTTATCGGGGATGTTCGAATTCATCACGATAAACATGCGAACTATGGCCATTCTGATCATCTTCAAAGTAACGTGCTTAGTTCTTAACAGTCGAACGGAACTTGAACGCTATCTTCTAGATAATGTCATTAAAGTGTGTAGAGACTGTAAGATTCAGATTAAAACTGATCGACGAATGAGAAGTATAAAGAAAACTGTAAAAGGGTCATTCATAATCAATTACGGTTAGTCGTTCAAATTCAGAATAATTGACATCATGATTTTGTTAGAAAGACACAAACCTGTAAGATACAGACTGACTCTAGTATTGCTTCCCTGTGAATTTGGAGATACTAAGTGCAAAAATACTGAATGATTTATATAATATAATACTGTGATGTTTCAGCAATACAAATAAACTCGTTTAATAACTGATTAAAATGTTTTTGTTACTTTCGTACGCTAAAAGCTACTTGTAAATTTTAGCATGACTAGTGGAATTACTTGAGAAAACGGTACAGAAACGATTTTCCTCGTTTTCAGCAGTAAAAGAAGAGTATCTAGGCAATTTGATCTGGATATTTTATACACAAGATCAGCTCTTTGCTGGCTCCAAAAAATACAAACCCACAGTTCCATTGTGTATGTAGAATTCACAACCTGCCGATCCCTGATCTGAGAATTTACATTACGAATTTTATAACAGAAGAAAAATTAATCTTACTTTTATCATCGTTGAGAAAAGATAGCCACTGGGCCAGTTTTACATTTAAACTGAAACATAGCATCAGATCGAGAAAAAATGTTTCGTTATCTATTCTGTTACTTTACTTACGCAAGTGATGTGCTGAATGTCGTTCGGTGCAGATGACGTAGCATCACCTAGTATTCTTCTTTAGTTTACTTAAGCTTATGAGAAGAGAATGGAAAGAAGAGAGCATGCTTTTTTTTATTTTCTTTGCGGCGACAAAGACAAGTCTAGATACCACGACGTATCAATACAATGAAGAATACGACGGCAGTTACCAACAAAAGTATATTTTCATCTTTTCTTTAACTCGAAGGTTGAGGCAAGCTATCTGTTGCATTCACTAGGGTCTGGGTATGGGTGGGTAGACTATGAATGTAAATGTGTTTTTGAAGAAAAGAACAACACCCACATTCGCATGCAATATTGTTTAGCCGCATTAATTGATGAGGAAAAAGAAGCTCTATCAAATCGCTCATATTATTTGTTCGATTTATCTGATGATGCTCATTGCACCTATTCCCGTGATCAATTATGGTATGATTCATTTTCAGCTCAAACTCCTAAAGATTATGAGAATCCTTTATCATTTAACGAAGTTGCTATCATCATGAATATCATCTGGCTTAATTTATGCAAAAGAAGATTTTGTCTGAAACGTAAATGAAAGTTCTTATTCAAAGCTATGATTCTAATGAATTGAGAAGGATCGATCTTAGGCTCAATGCACTGAAACAATTGAAGAAATCATATGGACGATTTGTGTCTATGACAGCTAAATATCCTTTCAAAGATGGGAATGACTTTACACTTCATACATATGTTGTAAAATATTTGTTTGCCAGAGAAAATGAAATTCAGTCGTACTTATGTTTTTTCTATTTAGATCGAACTTATATGGCCCTCTTATTTTAAAGAACCATTTAACATATATTGGTAATTGTAATCGCCTCGTTGGTTCTTTCATCTTTCATATTCAACCACCAATTATCGAAGATCATAAAATGTACAAAGTCTATGATACAATGAACGAAATTTGGAACAAAGAATTCCAAACGGATATCACTACAGATCATCTGTACAGTA